CCTGCTGAAGGAGCTTAATGATTAGCAATGGAGATGCTCAGATGCAATTTTTCATCCTCAGGGTTGGTAAACAAGGATTTGCATTTTGTTTTAAGAAGTAATTTTTCTGAGCAGTATGTGAATTCAGTTAGGTGGTTTTTTTATTATTGACTTAGAAAATTGACAAAAATCGAATTACATTGGGGTGCAACTTCTAAAATTGAAAAATTAGCAAAATTTGGTTTATAAAATAGTCTTACATTTCAATGAAATATGGTAAAAGCATCTTAGGGAAACAATTCTCTAGATTTAAACCTTTCTTTCATTTTTGTCCCCCAGTCGTGGAAATATTAAGCATTAAGCTAATCAGCAAGACGAAAGCAACCTAATTTAGTTTCCCTTCTGCATCAGGAAACTGGTTCGTTTATGGGAGAGTGAGAAAAGAAAGGAACTTCCCTGGACTCCTGACATGCTGATCTCATGCTTCATTTGGGAAAGAAGTGGGAATGTACCAAACCTTTCTCTCTCCACATGGTTAGGACCTTTTGCTGCTATTTATTTTAAGGCGTTCAGGAAAATAAACTAGCACGTGGAGAGAAGCACTTCATTCTGGAGTTTGATGTCTAACAGGTGTGGAAGTGAAATGCATACAGTTTTCTTGCCTGCTCTTTCGGGACAGCCTTTTGGTTTCTGCCCATTTGCTAAGTATCTGCAGTTTTATTGTGAATACCATAATATGTTTTGGTGGCTTTTGCACATTAATATTAAATATTTAACGTATTGAACATGTGTATAGATAGGTTTTTAGATTAGGGTTGAGTGTCACTTCTTGATAACTTGTATGTTGATTCCTGTTAGGAAATCTTTAGCAGTTTGATATACTTAGTGTTCAGGATTGTTTATGCAAGAAATAAGCTTCTATGTATTATTTTTCTGAACAGAAATATTAGCATTGGAAATTCAGTATTGTCAGAGAATTTCTAAGTTTAGGCTTTTGATTTATTTTTTAAAAAAGCAGTTTATGTTGGAAACTGTAAAGCTAGAGCATCCCTTGTTTTCCCCACTTAAAGCTTAACTACGCAGAACACAATACTGGAAGCAGACTATTTCTTAATTGTTTGGGTTTTTTTCCTGGAGGATAGTGTAAATTTAGAAACTGGTTAAGGAAGTTGAAAGATCCATTGTCTTTATCCGTGTCTTCTACCTTCAGAGGCCAATAGTTTATAGAAATTTGCAGTTAGTTCTTAACACATTTCAATCCAATAATTTAGGCACATATGTAGCGTAATTTTTAACACGGAAGGCAAAACTGCACAGAATTCAAAATCTAAAATAAAATGCATTAAAGGGCAGACCATTTTTGTACAATCCCATGAAATATGCCAGTGGCTTTATGTAAAGAGTTCATCTAAATACTTCTCTCCAAATAGTCACTTCAGATATTAATGTTTGCATAGCATTTTGCAGTCCATTTTCCTCCTAAAGCAATTCCTGTATTTTCTTAATGTTGTTCTTCTACTTTACTGCTGGTATCTCTTCTGCAGCAATTGCGTGTTTACCTTGACATTATTCAGCATTTGTTAGTTTTCTCAGAGAAATTTATATTGCTTATTCCAAATCTTTTTCTGCATTTTTCTCTTTCAGTATTTTTTCATACTTAGATTAATTATGAGCTACCATCCATATAAAATTTTGTCCATGTGGAGTTAAATTCTGGTAAGATGACAACATTATATTTATTTTAGATTAGAACACAATTAAAAGGAAACTAGGGGAGCCAATAGCTCATCCTGTCCTTTTTTCATACATGTTTTTGTTACTCTTGAAACTTCTGTCTGTCAGTCATTCCCCTCCAGCAAAAATATTTTAGCCTTCTTTGATCATTTACAGATCACTGTCTAATCTGATGCTCTTAAACATAAATATAATATTGAGCACTGATAACACTCTTCAGTCATGAACTTCAAAAGTACTTCCAGGAAAGGGCTCCAGGTAAGCCTTCCATGACCGCTGTAAGATGTTTTGTTACTTTAATCTACTGTAGCCTACATGAGCTGAGTACCATATCTGGTACTGAACTGGTATTGAACTTGAAAGATTTTAATACTGAATGTTATGTGAAAATTAATTTCAGGAGTACTGATGTGTGAATTGGTGTGACAGTTAGGACCTCTGATTTGTAGCATCTATCCTGCAAGAGGTGCCATTGGAAAAGTCATTTGAGTTGTTAGAAGGCTTTTCATT